TTTACCACTAGGCGTTACCAGAACACCTAATACTTGTTATTAATCTCTGTTTCTCTCCCACAGCATGTTTTCCTTCTCTCACCCCTCGCAGCAGATGGCCGTCCCTCCCTGACCCTGGTTCTGCTGGAAGTTTCTTCCTGTTAAAAGGGAGTTTTTCCCTCCCACTGTCGCCAAAGTGCTTGCTATAGGGGGTCATATGATTGTTGGGTTTTTCTCTGTATGTATTATTGTAGGATCTACCTTACAATATAAAGCCTTGAGGCGACTGTTGTTGTGATTTGGTGCTGTATAAATAAAATTGAATTGAGTGTTACACTTTAGCAGAGATACCACTGTGCACATGCACAACCTTAGGCCTGGTTTATGTAACCGTGGCTTATATTTGTAATATTAATACAGAAAATGTTCCATCTGTAAAACTCTGTTTTACAGTCCACACATTCAACTACTTTTTCTAAAGGAACAGAAAGAAAGAAGACATTTCGATTTTATGGTCTCTAGATATAAATGCAAAGGTGTTGCAGGTCCAGCATAGGGTACTTGATGAGTTTTTTTATGTTATTTTGTGGGTGTGCGCTGTGCATGGTGTGAGAAGGCTTTGGCAGGATGTGGTTTAAATTATTTTTTTCAGACTTCAAACAAAGTCATCTTTAAAACAGGATGATGATCGCACCAGTCTGCCTCATGATCAGTAAGAAAACTGACTTTTTATTTCATATTTGTCAACAACAGATCTTTGTTTGTTTTTACATTTATAGCTTGCATGCAGTTTTTCTCATTTGCAATGAGTCAATTCTTAAATGATGGTTAAAGTTTTAAAAGCAGTTTCTGAAATTCTTTAAAACACTTTGCTACATGTGAACATCAGAAAGCATATTTGTTTTTTTCTTCTGTAAATCATTTGAGAAATGAGCCGTGTTGGTTTTGAGCCAAAGGGTTCAAGGGTCTTGTGAGTGGAGTTTGTGTCTTTGTTTGGACTGTGTGAGTTCCTGGTAGTCTAACTTCCTCCCACGGTCCAAACACATGCCTGTTAGGTTAACTAGTTATTTTAATTGTTCACAGGTAAGGATGGGTGTCTGTGAACGTTTAGCTCTGTGATGGACTGATGACTTGAGTCCTCGGGTGGAATCTGTCTCTAAGCCCCTGTAAGCTGGGCAGATTCCTGATTTTGTGCATTTTATGATTTTGAATTTGAATTCCTCTCGTACACGTTAATGCAACATCAGCTGTCATGGTTGTTATAACTCCCATCACTTCATACATGGTGGAATATTTACATGGATTAGTTTTCCCTGAAGCTAACATTAACCCTACTTGAACATTCATGGTCAGAAGTTTCCATACACTCATCAGGAGAGTGAATGTTGAGGTAATTGTGGGCTTTTAATGGTTTCTTCAACTGTTCTTACATCTTTAATGACTTTGAAAAACTAAACAAAAAAAGGTTGAAATATTTGGTTAACATTTAACAAATATTAGTGACAGCCAACAACAAGCTGCAGGCATAACTCTGATGGGAAGTTTGACCTCTCTTATTGGCAGAATGTTTTGTTTCTGGGTCTTTGACCCAGCTCTTTGAGGTTACTTTTTTAGGTTAACATATTTGTTGATGTTTGATTTTTTGCTTTGTTAAGAAGTTTTAGCTTTGGGTTTTGGTTCTTTTCATGTCATTGAGTTTACAGCTTTCCCCACTTATGTCTGTGTCTGCTCGCCTTCTGTGGTCTCGCTCCCCTTCTCTCTGTGTCTTGTCTCCCTTAGTTGTCCCAGGTTTTCCTCCTTGTGTTTCATCCTTGTCTCATCTGTCCTTCATGTGCATCCATGTGTGTTCTCCACAGCCCATCATGTCTCTC